GGACACATGCAGGTTAAAGGTTAAAGGGGCACATGCAGGTTAAAGGGGCACATGAAGGTTCAAGGGGCACATGCAGGTTAAAGGGGCACATGCAGGTTAAAGGGGCACATGCAGGTTAAAGGGGCACATGCAGGTTAAAAGGGCACATGAAGGTTAAAGGGGCACATGCAGAGGTTAAAGGGGCACATGCAGGTTAAAGGGGCACATGCAGGTTAAAGGGGCACATGAAGGTTCAAGGGGCACATGCAGGTTGAAGTGGCACATGCAGGTTAAAGGGGCACATGGAAGTTAAAGGGGCACATGCAGGTTAAAGGGGCACATGCATGTTAAAAGGGCACATGCAGTTTAAAGGGGCACATGAAGGTTCAAGGGGCACATGCAGGTTAAAGGGGCACATGCAGGTTAAATGGGCAAATGCAGGTTAAAGGGGCACATGCAGGTTAAAAGGGCACATGAAGGTTAAAAGGGCACATGCAGAGGTTAAAGGGGCACATGCAGGTTAAAGGGGCACATGCAGGTTGAAGTGGCACATGCAGGTTAAAGGGGCACATGGAAGTTAAAGGGGCACATGAAGGTTAAAGGGGCACATGCAGGTTAAAGGGACACATGCAGGTTAAAGGTTAAAGGGGCACATGCAGGTTCAAGGGGCACATGAAGGTTAAAGGGGCACGTGCAGGTTAAAGGGGCACATGCAGGTTAAAGGGGCACATGCAGGTTAAAGGGGCACATGCAGGTTAAAAGGGCACATGCAGGTTTAAAGGGCACATGCAGAGGTTAAAGGGGCACATGCACGTTAAAGGGGCAAATGCAGGTTGAAGTGGCACATGCAGGTTGAAGTGGCACATGCAGGTTAAAGGGGCACATGGAAGTTAAAGGGGCATATGAAGGTTAAAGGGGCATATGGTGGTTAAAGGGGCATATGGTGGTTAAAGGGGCACATGCAGGTTCAAGGGGCACATGCAGGTTAAAGGGGCACATGCAGGTTAAAGGGGCACATGCAGGTTAAAGGGGCACATGGAAGTTAAAGGGGCACATGCAGGTTAAAGGGGCACATGCAGGTTAAAAGGGCACATGCAGTTTAAAGGGGCACATGCACGTTAAAGGGGCACATGCAGGTTGAAGTGGCACATGCAGGTTAAAGGGGCACATGGAAGTTAAAGGGGCATATGAAGGTTAAAGGGGCATATGGTGGTTAAAGGGGCACATGCAGGTTCAAGGGGCACATGCAGGTTCAAGTTGCACATGCAGGTTAAAGGGACACATGCAGGTTAAAGGGGCACATGCAGGTTGAAGTGGCACATGCAGGTTAAAGGGGCACATGGAGGTTAAAGGGGCACATGCAGGTTTAAGGGGCAAATGCAGGTTAAAGGGGCACATGCAGTTTAAAGGGGCACATGCACGTTAAAGGGGCACATGGAGGTTGAAGTGGCACATGCAGGTTAAAGGGGCACATGCAGGTTAAAGGGGCACATGCAGGTTAAAAGGGCACATGCAGGTTAAAAGGGCACATGCAGAGGTTAAAGGGGCACATGCACGTTAAAGGGGCACATGCAGGTTGAAGTGGCACATGCAGGTTAAAGGGGCACATGGAAGTTAAAGGGGCATATGAAGGTTAAAGGGGCATATGGTGGTTAAAGGGGCACATGCAGGTTCAAGGGGCACATGCAGGTTAAAGGGGCACATGCAGGTTAAAGGGGCACATGCACGTTAAAGGGGCACATGCACGTTAAAGGGGCACATGCAGGTTGAAGTGGCACATGCAGGTTAAAGGGGCACATGGAAGTTAAAGGGGCACATGCAGGTTAAAGGGGCACATGCAGGTTAAAGGGGCACATGCAGGTTAAAGGGGCACATGCAGGTTAAAGGGGCACATGAAGGTTCAAGGGGCACATGCAGGTTGAAGTGGCACATGCAGGTTAAAGGGGCACATGGAAGTTAAAGGGGCATATGAAGGTTAAAGTGACATATGGTGGTTAAAAGGGCACATGCAGGTTAAAGGGGCACATGCAGGTTAAAGGGGCTAATGCAGGTTAAAGGGGCACATGCAGTTTAAAGGGGCACATGCAGGTTAAAGGGGCACAGGCAGGTTACAAGGGCACATGCAGTTTAAAGGGGCACATGCAGGTTAAAGGGGCACATGCAGGTTAAAAGGACACATGAAGGTTCAAGGGGCACATGCAGGTTAAAGGGGCACATGAAGGTTGAAGGGGCACATGTAGGTTCAAGGGGCACATGCAGGTTAAAGGGGCACATGCAGGTTAAAGGGGCACATGCAGGTTGAAGGGGCACATGCAGGTTAAAGGGGCACATGCAGGTTAAAGGGGCACATGAAGGTTCAAGGGGCACATGCAGGTCAAAGGGGCACATGCAGGTTAAAGGGGCACATGCAGGTTGAAGTGGCACATGAAGGTTGAAGGGGCACATGCAGGTTCAAGGGGCACATGCAGGTTAAAGGGGCACATGCAGGTTAAAGGGGCACATGCAGGTTAAAGGGGCACATGCAGGTTAAAGGGGCACATGCAGGATAAAGGGGCACATGAAGGTTAAAGGGGCACATGCAGGTTAAAGGGGCACATGAAGGTTGAAGGGGCACATGCAGGTTCAAGGGGCACATGCAGGTTAAAGGGGCACATGCAGGTTAAAGGGGCACATGCAGGTTCAAGGGGCACATGCAGGTTAAAGGGGCACATGCAGGTTAAAGGGGCACATGAAGGTTCAAGGGGCACATGCAGGTTGAAGTGGCACATGCAGGTTAAAGGGGCACATGGAAGTTAAAGGGGCATATGAAGGTTAAAGGGACATATGGTGGTTAAAAGGGCACATGCAGGTTAAAGGGGCACATGCAGGTTAAAGGGGCACATGCAGGTTAAAGGGGCACATGCAGTTTAAAGGGGCACATGCAGGTTAAAGGGGCACAGGCAGGTTACAAGGGCACATGCAGTTTAAAGGGGCACATGCAGGTTAAAGGGGCACATGCAGGTTAAAAGGACACATGAAGGTTCAAGGGGCAAATGCAGGTTAAAGGGGCACATGCAGGTTGAAGGGGCACATGCAGGTTAAAGGGGCACATGCAGGTTAAAGGGGCACATGAAGGTTCAAGGGGCACATGCAGGTTGAAGTGGCACATGCAGGTTAAAGGGGCACATGCAGGATAAAGGGGCACATGCAGGTTAAAGGGGCATATGAAGGTTAAGGGGGACACATGAAGATTAAAGGGGCACATGCATGTCAAAGGGGCACATGCAGGTTAAAGGGGCATATGAAGGTTAAGGGGCACATGAAGATTAAAGGGGCACATGCAGGTTAAAGGGGAACATGCAGGTTAAAAGGGCACATGCAGGTTAAAGGGGCACATGCAGGTTAAAGGGGCACATGCAGGTTAAAGGGGCATATGAAGGTTAAAGGGGCACATGCAGGTTAAAGGGGCACATGCAGGTTAAAGGGGCACATGCAGGTCAAAGGGGCACATGCAGGTTAAAGGGGCACATGCAGGTTAAAGGGGCACATGGAGAGGTTAAAGGGGCACATGCAGGTAAAAGGGGCACATGCAGAGGTTAAAGGGGCACATGCAGGTTAAAGGGGTACATGCAGGTGAAAGGGGTACATGAAGCTCCGGGTAGATGTGTGAGGAGAACAGATTCGAGGCCTACTCTGGAGGTATCCAAGCTGAGACGCTGATGACAGTAATATGAAGTGATCTTGTCTTTATGCTGACCCGACATCACCACTTCCCCTTCATCCCGCTGACCTGTACCCCCCTTCCTCCATCTGACAACTCTGGCTATAAACAAACACGCATGCTATAAACAGTTAACATCTACATGTCTGTTTGTTTGTTTGTTTGTTTGTTGTTTAACGCCGCACTCAGCAATATTCCAGCTATATGACGGCGGTCTGTAAATAATCGAGTCTGGACCAGACAATCCAGTGATGTATATCATGAGCATCGATCCACGCAATTGGGATACGATGACTTGCATCAACCAAGTCAGTGAGCATGACCAACCGACCCCGTTAGTCGCCTCTTACGACCGTCTTCCCGAGGCAAGCGAGTTAACTGACTTTAAAAGTCCAGTTTCCACCCTTGCCGAACTAGGCTGGAATTCCTGGGCTCGATCGTAGCGCCACCAGTGACTATTACGAGTTATGTCCTTTCTATGCCTCTCCTATAGACCAATCAGATTCAACCTCTCGTATCACTTGCATTTGCTTCAAACAAAACGGTGGCGCCCAGTCAAGACGATCTGATCGATAATCAAGATCTATGTGGTGATAAAACGAGTCTTACATCGCGAAGTGCATCAAATCACGTGAGCACCTTGATTAAAAACATGAAAAGATTTAGAAAATATATGTTGCCAACGAGTTAGCGGTATACATGCTTTGCAAATCCTGTTGTCGAGCGAAATCTGCATGACACTTTACGAACCGGATTTCGATTTCAGTGCGCGATTTTGATTGGACTATGCTTAGACTCGTCAGTCCAGCCAAAATGTAACTCCATAATACGAGCCTGGTTCGGCAAGGGTGGAAACTGGACTTTTATAGTCAGTTAACTCACTTGCCTCGGGAAGATGCTTACGACAAGCATAGTCACATGTAAACACAAATTAATAATTAAAATAATAACATTTATTAACCGTTAAAACTGTTAGTATGTGTCTGTATATGATTAGGATATTGTCAAACCAGTAATAGATCATTTTACGAATGTGAGTGAGTGAGTGAGTGAGTGAGAGTCTTATTCTAGGTTATTATAGATGTTTTAACCGCTTTGGGCAACGGGCCACAGACAATGCAGACAGAGAAATCCAGACAATCAAGTGACACAATGACGATGAGACAAATGCAATGAATTAGTTTACATCGTGTCACCAATATACTATAATACAAACAAGTGTCTTCCAATTGTCAAGATGTGGTCCTAGATACTATATTCGACACATATACTAGTGTGTAACTGTAGCAGGGCAGTGAATGAGCGATAGGCAAACACACGCTACGGGTGAGAGACGTTTATTCGGCCAATGGATTTGTCATATTTATATCTATCTAGGATATACACCCTGAAACATATTAAAAGGAATGATAAGTAATATTAACAATATACATAATGCAATCATCGACATCACAGTATTACAAACCGTTTTACATTACAAACACATCTTATTCATATATTAGTTGTTATACTGTACCATGATATGCTAACTGATGTAAGAACCAAATAGAATAATTATTTATATATTAACTAAGTGTTAAGAGATTATAAATCTCTTTCAAAATACATAACTATACATGTCTTTACGGGTGTGATACACTTATGTGTTACACAAATATAGAAACTGACTATACAAGTTATTATGTGCCTACCCTGTGGGTGAGACTGGGGTGTCTTCCCGACTAGCGCCGCAACTTATAATTCCGGATATCTGAATAAAACATATATGTTTATAACAATGACTAATACAACTATTTACATACACGTTAAAATATTTCTCCGGATCCCGTATAGTACAGACTGTAGATTATACAGAACTGATCACAAAAGCATTTAAAACATAGCCTATTCCATAAAACAACACATACATTCTTCCTCATACATACAAGAATAAAGAGACAGAAAAGTGATATATTAGTAATTACCAAAGCTTACATTTATAAGTCTTGTTTACCACATTTATTTAAATAGATTGTAACTGAGAATATGATAATATTAAACACGTTTAGGTAAGTTTAGTATTATAGGTTTAATATACTGCAACATTTAACTGCAATAACATACAATACAAATCTATATTAAACTAACCTGATTTTAGATGATTTCACCTGTCAACTTGTCTGTGTAGGAAATGTGTGCAGACTGAGAACATGCAGTGAGACAAAGGGTCAACTTTGAGGGTTAGCTTGGCCAATCAGTTGAGCACATCATGGCTTGGGTTTGTTAAAGCTTACAACATGAAGGACATATTAACTACATTTAATCTATCTTAACTAATGATTTATGTTTAAAATTGAACGCTTAAAAGCAGATACTGAAGGTGAATAAAATAAATATGTACAATGTTGTATCTGTCACATAACAGCTATGGAATATATGTAAAATGATGATATAACCCCACCCTCCATTGTCACTGTATCTGCCTGGAGCCACGTTTTGGTCATGGTCTCTTGTACTGGAACACGACATGTACCAGATGGTATGAGATGTACCTCACAGCCCTCTGATGCCTTCAATTTCAAAGTTAATTTTCACAAAAGATTTCACTGTGGTGTTTTAATTTATCTTTTGGTTGTTTTTTTGTTCATCTATTCAGAAGTCGAATAGACAAAGAGCAAACTGTTTTGCGAAATTCCCACAAATTCTTGCAGATTATAAAAACAAAAAACCCAACAGTTACTATTCCATCCTTATGAATATATTTAGGACATACGGTTAATTAAACGACATCATAAAACCTTCTGAAAATCCAAATGTGGCTGATAAATACTTGGAAGGTTTGTTATCGCCATATCTATCCATTCTTTTTTCGATTTATTGATTTATGAACATAAAATCATTATCCTCGAATTGCTGGAAACTACATTTTATTTGTGTTTGTTCATACGGCTCTGGTAGTGAGTATCTTGGATTGCAGACTACCTTCTTTGTAAATAGCCAAGGCTGTACGACGTTGTGTTGGGAAAGACGACGGTTGACACACTCGTAAAATGAAAGGGAATATTTATTTCGCCTTCTCCACTTTCCACTGCTGCACATATACTACAGCATGTGTACCTACTGCAGTCAGATACAGGACAAACTAACATCACTATCACAAAGACTACCTTCGCATCCGTATCACTATCACAAAGACTACCTTCGCGTCCGTATCACTATCCCAGTGACTACCTTCGCGTCCGTATCAATATCCCAGTGACTACCTTCGCATCCGTATCAATATCCCAGTGACTACCTTCGCGTCCGTATCAATATCCCAGTGACTACCTTCGCATCCGTATCAATATCACAAAGACTACCTTCGCATCCGTATCAATATCACAAAGACTACCTTCGCATCCGTATCAATATCACAAAGACTACCTTCGCGTCCGTATCAATATCCCAGTGACTACCTTCGCATCCGTATCAATATCCGAGTGACTACCTTCGCATCCGTATCAATATCCCAGTGACTACCTTCGCGTCCGTATCAATATCCCAGTGACTACCTTCGCGTCCGTATCAATATCCCAGTGACTACCTTCGCATCCGTATCAATATCCCAGTGACTACCTTCGCGTCCGTATCAATATCCCAGTGACTACCTTCGCATCCGTATCAATATCACAAAGACTACCTTCGCATCCGTATCAATATCACAAAGACTACCTTCGCATCCGTATCAATATCACAAAGACTACCTTCGCGTCCGTATCAATATCCCAGTGACTACCTTCGCATCCGTATCAATATCCGAGTGACTACCTTCGCATCCGTATCAATATCCCAGTGACTACCTTCGCGTCCGTATCAATATCCCAGTGACTACCTTCGCATCCGTATCAATATCCCAGTGACTACCTTCGCATCCGTATCAATATCCCAGTGACTACCTTCGCGTCCGTATCAATATCCCAGTGACTACCTTCGCGTCCGTATCAATATCCCAGTGACTACCTTCGCGTCCGTATCAATATCCCAGTGACTACCTTCGCGTCCGTATCAATATCCCAGTGACTACCTTCGCGTCCGTATCAATATCCCAGTGACTACCTTCGCGTCCGTATCAATATCCCAGTGACTACCTTCGCGTCCGTATCAATATCCCAGTGACTACCTTCGCATCCGTATCAATATCCGAGTGACTACCTTCGCATCCGTATCAATATCCCAGTGACTACCTTCGCGTCCGTATCAATATCCCAGTGACTACCTTCGCATCCGTATCAATATCCCAGTGACTACCTTCGCGTCCGTATCAATATCCCAGTGACTACCTTCGCGTCCGTATCAATATCCCAGTGACTACCTTCGCGTCCGTATCAATATCCCAGTGACTACCTTCGCGTCCGTATCAATATCCCAGTGACTACCTTCGCGTCCGTATCAATATCCCAGTGACTACCTTCGCGTCCGTATCAATATCCCAGTGACTACCTTCGCGTCCGTATCAATATCCCAGTGACTACCTTCGCGTCCGTATCAATATCCCAGTGACTACCTTCGCGTCCGTATCAATATCCCAGTGACTACCTTCGCGTCCGTATCAATATCCCAGTGACTACCTTCGCGTCCGTATCAATATCCCAGTGACTACCTTCGCGTCCGTATCAATATCCCAGTGACTACCTTCGCGTCCGTATCAATATCCCAGTGACTACCTTCGCGTCCCTATCAATATCCCAGTGACTACCTTCGCGTCCGTATCAATATCCCAGTGACTACCTTCGCGTCCGTATCAATATCCCAGTGACTACCTTCGCGTCCGTATCAATATCCCAGTGACTACCTTCGCGTCCGTATCAATATCCCAGTGACTACCTTCGCGTCCGTATCAATATCCCAGTGACTACCTTCGCGTCCGTATCAATATCCCAGTGACTACCTTCGCGTCCGTATCAATATCCCAGTGACTACCTTCGCGTCCGTATCAATATCCCAGTGACTACCTTCGCGTCCGTATCAATATCCCAGTGACTACCTTCGCGTCCGTATCAATATCCCAGTGACTACCTTCGCGTCCGTATCAATATCCCAGTGACTACCTTCGCGTCCGTATCAATATCCCAGTGACTACCTTCGCGTCCGTATCAATATCCCAGTGACTACCTTCGCGTCCGTATCAATATCCCAGTGACTACCTTCGCGTCCGTATCAATATCCCAGTGACTACCTTCGCGTCCGTATCAATATCCCAGTGACTACCTTCGCGTCCGTATCAATATCCCAGTGACTACCTTCGCGTCCGTATCAATATCCCAGTGACTACCTTCGCGTCCGTATCAATATCCCAGTGACTACCTTCGCGTCCGTATCAATATCCCAGTGACTACCTTCGCGTCCCTATCAATATCCCAGTGACTACCTTCGCGTCCGTATCAATATCCCAGTGACTACCTTCGCGTCCGTATCAATATCCCAGTGACTACCTTCGCGTCCGTATCAATATCCCAATGACTACCTTCGCGTCCGTATATATTAGGCAAATCGAATTAACTCCTAATTCGCTTTATATTTTTATGTTACCCACACAGACTGGTTTGCCTGCTCTTGCCATGCGGGTGCGTCTGCGGCAGAGAACCAGTATACGTTATTATATTATTCACGTTTCTGCTCGGCCAGTCTCACAATTAAATACAATAGCCCCCTCTACCTCCACATCGATTGAGAAATGTTAGAATTGAAGTACGCATCCCACGCTTCATCTGTTTTCTTCCACGTTTGTTTGTAGATATTTGTAGTGAGTGAGTGAGTGAGTGTGTTATCGATCTACCTTTGTCTACATCAGCGCCGACGCCAGGGCGCAGGGCAGACACAAGCTAAACGACATCAATAAATGCATAGTGTTTATTCCTAATACAGGATATTTACCATCCCTAAACACACAAGCGTGATAACCTTTTTATCATATAATGTCATTCTTTAATTATGTGCTTTAAATATAGAATCTCACCCGAGGGTCTTTTGATATGAAATATATCAAGACGAGTTGATAAAAGTGGAAAAATTCCGAGTCTTGCCGAGGATTTTTGCCACTTTTATCAACGAGTGTTGATATATTTGAAGTCAAAAGACACGAGGGTGAGATTTTATTTATCATCCAACATCATTCTTCCAACTTTTTCAAATTGGAGACAGTAATTAGCAGTGTCTTCAGTGTAAAAAGTACTGCTAACAGCTTCAGTAGCAGAGCCATTAGTGATGTCATTTGATTGCGACGTCATGGTAACCAGTGATGTCACAATGGTCTGCAAAGCATTGTGATGTAATTTCATTGCAGCGATATCTACAGTGTAGATATATAGAATACTAAACGAGTTCCCGTGTAATACCAATTTTATGAAACGAGTGAATAGTTCTTCGCTTTCGCTCGTCAGATACCACAACTATTCACGAGTTTCATAAAATTGGTTTTACACGGGAGCGAGTTTAGTATTTTATTTATTACTTGCCATTTATAATGTTTTTAGAATTATACTGTTGAATGTGAATAGGCTGATACCTACACGATCCATTGCATAATCCTATTGAGTTTAACAGAATAATACTTCAAACACGTCAAAAGTTGAAGCGTATGAATTTAATATCATACAATGGTCATCATTCAGGCGTCCGTCCCACAAAATTATCATAGCGCTAAGGCTATTAGTCCTTGGTCCCAGAACGAAAATTTGGCAAATTGGTACCACTTGGGGGGGGGGGGGGCAAAGGGACATATGCATTTTGTACAGCCTAGTATACATTAGTCATATTATGATATGATAGCAAGGTTTTTACGGCAGCTTATTTATAGAAATGACCTTTGACATTTGAGGGTGTCTAAAAATAGTAACAAATATTAAACATTGGAAATGAAAGATTTTCTGTCCCTTTTACCCATTTAAAGCATAAATATGTATGTCTTATTGATACTTTAATATCATATAGCCATATGTATGCTCATCTGGGTTGTGAAATGATAACATGTTATTATTTTAGACCTTTTCGTAAGTTCGACATGATTTTGTCCACCACAAGGTATCAAAATCCCAATAATAGAAAAAAGAATCTGTTAGCAATCTTTATTGTCATTAAGGTTTTGTCTACTGATTCTCCATCCACAATTTCATTGAAACACAACTAAGACACACTTGAATTCATGGTACCTACATGCACTAGTGTGTCCAAGGTCAAGGTCAACATGAGAGAACATGTCTAAATAGTCAGAGATAACATGCAATCCCTCTTTATGCTGA